GGGGTTTGGGTCTTTCTGGCTCCGGATCTCCAGTCCCGCTGGGCTCTGTGGCAGCAAATCGGCATAGCCAGGCCTGACGTGGACTGCGATGCCAATAGCGGCTGTCTCGCAGAGCTGAGCCGGGGGCGCGGAGAGCTGGGGGAGGCACGCCAGAGGGCAGCAGCATGCACCAAGGTCCAGAGGCAGGGGAGAGCGGGCAGGGCTCTGGAGATCGAGCCCCGCTGCTGTGGCCGAGGCTCAGCACCCAGGAGGGGTGACAGCGGGAGCCATCGAAGGTTCCCAGCAGGAGGGCATGGGCCCGTGAGATCCCGTGGCTTCTATGAGAAGGGACTTTGGGGAAGAAGGTGGACACTAGGAGACCAGTGAGGGGCTGCCCTCTTTGGTGATCCCTCAACTGCGGACTTGGCGCTGCCGAGGACCGAGTGGGCAGGGCAGCAGGGCTGCGCGCAACAGGACCCACTCGGGCAGGACGGCGGCCGGGCGGGGACTGGCCCTGGCGGCACGCCCCGTGACGGACAGACATGTGCCTTGCAGGCCACCCCCTGCCCCTGGGCCTCCACGACGGCACCCGACCCGGCCTGCCACGCCCGTCCACCATCTCCAACCCGCCACCCCTCATCTCCTCCACCAAGCACCCCAGCTCTCTGGACAGACAGATGGGCTCCGTCTCCCAGGTGAGGGGCAGCCCTCCCTGCTCCGGGCTCGGTCTTCCTCCTGCAAAGTGGGCAACAGGCCCAGAGAGGTCTGAGTGGGCCGAGTCGCCCCCGTCAGGCAGCCTGGGGCCTGCGCTGGACACTCAGGCCTCTGTCATTTGCCAGACAGGGTCCCCACGTGGGTTTCTGGGATCAGAGTGTGGGCTCACGCAGGTTACGAACCTCTGCACCTCGGTGCCCCCAGTCTTCCCCCGGGTGGGGCGGGGACAAACGCGATGGGTGTGCAGTGGGGAGTGCTTGGGCCTGCCCACCTCCTGTCCACCCCACCAGGCGTCCCCTGGCCCACACTGCTCCTGTGTGCTGTTTTTAAGCCATACCCAGTGACGGTGGCCCTGCTGACTCAGAGAGGCCCCAACTCACATGGTCCCTCACTGGCGGGACTGCCTGCTCCCCAGGGGGGGATTGGGCAGTGTGGCAGGAGTCCTGAGAGCCACAACTCTGCCCTCAGGGAATCTCAGTCCCGTTCTCCGAGCACGCCAAGGCCCCGGTGGGGCCCCTCACCATGGGGCTGCCCCTCACCATGGACCCCAAGAAGCTAGGTAAGGACCTGCCCAGCCAGGCGGCCCCACCTGCCCTACGTGGGGGTGTGGTGGCTGGGAGGCCCCCAGATGCAGTGTGGGGGCGGTGGCACTGTGCACCCCCTGCAGGCCTGGGCCCCAGCCCTGGGGGAAGGTGGGTGGGGCCCCTGTCTGGGGCACACGGCTCACCCCCCTCTGGTACTCAGCACCCTTCAGTGGAGTGAAGCAGGAGCAGCTGTCCCCCCGGAGCCAGGCTGGGCCCCCGGAGAGCGTGGGAGCACCCACGGCCCAGGAGACGTCTGTGCTGAGAGGTGAGAGCCCGGCCCCCACGGGCCTGGGCCCCCTTTCCGTGCCAGAGGTGGTTGTGGCAGGAGCAGGGCCCTTCATCCAGAGTTCGGGGGGCGGGGACCAGGCTGGGACACTGAGTGGGACATGCGGTCACCAGGCGCAGTCGGAGAGGCCCCAGACCCCTCAAGCCCCCGTGCCTCGTGTCTTCCAGGGACAGCCCTGGGCTCCGTGCCGGGCGGAAGCATCACCAGGGGAGTGCCCGGCCCGCGGGTGCCTGCGGAGAGCCCTGTCAGCTACCGCGGCTCCATCACCCACGTAGGTGTCGGTGCGGCCGGGGGCCGGGAGCCAGCGCCGGGTCCACCACCCAGTGCCCGTCTGTGTCACCGCATGGCACCGGCCTCCATGGCCAGATGGCGACCTGCGGGACAGCCACCCACTCTGTAGACGTGGGTGTTGGCTATGCGGAGCTGGGTGTGGGGTGTGGGGGTGTGGGGGTGATCTTCCCCCACGCCAGCCGGCACTTAATGGGAGGGAGCGGATGGGAAACCGCGCACGGGGTCTGAGTAGCCAGGGCTGCAGGGAGTGAGCTACTGCCTGAGGCCCCCCGAGACGGGGAGGTGGCTTAGGCAGGTAGGGCGGAGTGACTCGTTGGCCATGGCCAGGAAAAAGGGGTGCGAGATGCATGAGAATCGCGGGAACAGCATCTGGGCCCAGGGAACGGCACGTGCAGAGCCTGAGAGGTGGGCGGGTTCCTGGTTCGAGCACAGGCCACGAACTGGCGCGTGGCAAACCCAGGGCTTCGTGTTGGAGGTGGCGGCCCCCAACACCGGCCAAGGGACTGGGCTTCCATCCACACGCTGACACGTGGACAGCCACACACTGACACACGGACAGCCACACACTGACACGCAGACAGCCACACGCTGACACGCGGACAGCCATGCATGGACAGCAGACAGCACACCTCTGAGGGCCTCGGGCTCAGGGCATCGGGAGAGCCGTGGGCTGGGCAGTGCAGACTCCACCTTCCCTGCTGCGGGGACCTCTAGGTGCCACGCCGCGGGCTTTGGAAGGCAGCCTAGTTGTCTACAAAGAGCCAGTGCGAGGCCCAGGCTGCCTGAGAGTCCGGCCAGGGTCCCCGCCCGTGCAGGCCCCTCCCCGCCTTGGTTTCCCCTCTGGTGATGTCTTCCTGGGAGGCTTCCACACCCCACGAAGGTGTAGGGCTAGAAGGTGGTCACTCAATCCTGGCCTCCGGGTGGCCGTGATCCACGCCGTCTCGGTCCCACACCCCTAAGGGAGGTTCTGGAGAGAGGCAGGTCCGAGTGTGAGGTTGGCGAGAGTCCACTTTCCCACGGCCTCGCCCCATTGCCAGGGCACGAGGAGATCGGTGCATGAACCCACACACACGGACACCCACACACACGGACACCCACACACAAGTGGTATTAACTCTGCAGTCCCACGGCCAGCTCAGAGGCCCGGGCCCGGGGAGGCATAGCTTCGAGTCCCTCTCGCGGCCCGCCCACCTTGGGAATAAGTCCCATCCCCACTGGGCCCAGGGGCTGCAGGCTCGTGCCCTGGAAGCAGACACTAGGTGCCTTAAGGCATCCATGTTCTGGAGTTTGTCCAGCGACCATCCCAGGCCACCGGCCCTGCTGGGTGCCTACCCTCTGCCCTGCCCGCCAAGCATCCACTGGCTCGTGAGCGACAGGCACCAGCAAGCCTGGCAGAGCCCTGTCGTCCTCGCGCTCCTCGCTGAGCCTCTGGCTCGGGCCATCCAGTGCCCTCTGGGCAGGAACACAGTGCACGGGAGCCAGCTACCTCGGAGGGCCCCTGCCCACCGGATGTCCTGCGTGCTCTCCTGAGAGGCAGCGGCCCTGAGCTAGCTCAGCGCCCTCGCGCCTCGCCCACGGTCACGCAGGGGCCAGCGCAGCAGGTGGCTGTGTTCCATCTCTCAGGCCCAGAGAGGTCAGCGTGCTTGGAGAAGCTCCCGCGACCCCTCAGAAGTCAGGCAAGGTGCCTTTCACAGACAAGGGCCTGGGATAGGTTCCCAGGGGAGCGAGGGGTGACCCGCGAAGGGCAGGTCTGACAGGCAGCTCCGAGGCCACGGGGACCATCGAGCCTTCTGGAACCAGACAGTGAAGAGGGTTGAGGACTTTCTGTGCCAGGTGCCATGGGGTCGGCACGGAGTGACTCCGTGTCCAGGGTGTGACCCGAGGCTTGGAGGAGAGGTGCTAGGCAGAGGTCACACAGCAGCGTGGCGGTGAGGTCACTGCCCGATGTCCCAGCTCCCCGTGCTCCTATTCCGGAGTGGCTCCAGGCAGGACCCCATCCCCTCTGCTTGAATACACCCCTGACGAGCTTCCGCCTTCGAGGTGGTGGATCTTAGCCTGGTGGCCCCTAGGGGACATCGGACACCACCTGAGCTGTTTTTGTCACGACTCATAGCGGCAGGCATGGGGGGCATTGACTCCCAGCCTCCCGCAGGTCGAGACTGGGCACGCAGCCCCACAGCCAACCTGAGCCTGCCCCCGAGGTAGCCTCTGGGGTCCGGCCTGACCTGAGGCTCTACCCGGTCCGGCCTGACCTGAGGCTCTACCCGGGCTTGGGAGCCATGCATGGGTATGGCCCTAATCCCTGCAGGGAGCCTTGAGCCCCGGTCTCCACCGGGTCTGTGTGCTGAGCACCGAGTGTCAGGGCTCTAAGAGAGAGACCCCCGGGTCAGGACAGGTGGACCCTGCTCATTAGCTAGGGGGCCCCGGCAAGGTCATCGGACCAGAGTGTACCTCAGTGTCCCCGCTGGAACTAGGGCCTGCCCAGGGTGACCTCAAGGGCAAGGTGAGCAGCTGCAGGGAAGGGTCTTGGGAACGTGAGCATTAGAGCAGGGACCCCGTAGCCGGGCTGTGTGCTGGCCTCCCGTCAGAGATGCGCACCTGAGGCACCCGTGGGCTCGTGCCCGTGCACGCCCGCACATACGTAGGCCGGTTCAGAGGTCCTGGGCCGTGGCCTAGGCTGACCCCCGTGTGCCCACAGGGCACCCCGGCTGATGTCCTGTACAAGGGAGCCATCACCAGGATCATTGGCGAGGACAGCCCGAGCCGCCTGGACCGCGGCCGGGAGGATGGCCTGCCCAAAGGTCACGTCATCTACGAGGGCAAGAAGGGCCACGTCCTGTCCTACGAGGGTGAGTGGCCTGTGTCCCCTCCGCAGCTGCAGGCCGCTGGGGACAGGCAGGGCCGGCCGAGCCCTCTCTCCTCCCCGTTCACGAGGGTACAAGAACTCATGGGGACCTGGGAGGACCACGGTCACACAGCACTTCCTGGGAGCCAGCCAGGGCCCGGCGGGGACTAAAGCAGACTGGGACCCCCTCGGAGGGTCTCAGGACACCGGGCGGAGGGCACACAGGATGCCACCTTGTCAGTTCCGAGTCACATCCACAGGCAGCTCGGCCCGGCCCTCCCACCATGTGAGCCCCCAGCAGAGCGAAGGCTGGTTGCTGACTCCTGGCACTGGGGGTCCGGGAGCCCCAGACCTGTGGGCCCTGCCCGGGCCGCCCCCACCATGCCGTCTGTCTGGTTTCCAGGTGGCATGTCTGTGCCCCAGTGTGCCAAGGAAGACGGCAGGAGCAGCTCAGGACCCCCTCACGAGCCGACCGCCCCCAAGCGCACCTACGACATGATGGAGGGTCGTGTGGGCAGGGCCATCTCCTCCGCCAGCATCGAGGGTGGGGCCTGGCACCTGCCTGGGCTGGGGGCGGGGGGAGCATGTCTCAGCTGGAGGGGAAGGGTGGGCTGGCAGGGCCCAGGAGGGGGCCGTCCGCCTCCCAGGGCTTCCCCACGGTGCTGGGGGCTGCCCGGCACCAGCCCAACTCACATCCCACTGTCCCTCTCCCCAGGGCTCATGGGCCGCGCCATCCCGCCTGAGCGCCACAGCCCCCACCACCTCAAGGAGCAGCACCACCTCCGCGGCTCCATCACTCAAGGTGCCCCTCCACCCCACGTCCCCTGCGCCGGCCGGGGCAGCAGCCGCCGCAGCAAGCCCTCGGGGGTGGCCGGTCACAGGGCCCAGAGGGGGGCACACCGGAGCACTTGGGGGACTCGGGGCATCCCAAGAGGGCGTGTGGCCGGGGCTGGGGCCCACAGAGAGGGTCTCACTGGAGACCGGGAGTGAGGTCTGCGCCACCCGGATCCTGCCCGTGGTTGTCGTTTACGGATTGACCGCTGTCCCCAACCCGGATCCTGCCCGTGGTTGTCGTTTACGGTTTGACCACTGTCCCCAGGCACCCTCCGGGCCCATGGAGGCCTTGGGGCCACCTTGGTGAAGAAGGGAGTCTGTAGGAGGCGCAGGTCACACAGCCCGTGCCCCACTGGCTGCTGTGGCAGCCGGAGAGCTGCATTATCATGCAGGTGCGGCTGGCCAGGTGGTCTCAGCTAACGCACTCAGGCCTGGAGAGGTCAGGCCACGGCATGTGAGGCGTTGGCTTGCAACCCTCCCGGGCCGGCCCGCGGCACTGAGGGTGTGCTTGCCCCGCAGGGATTCCCCGCTCCTACGTGGAGGCCCAGGAGGACTACCTGCGCCGCGAGGCCAAGCTCCTGAAGCGCGAGGGCACGCCACCTCCGCCCCCGCCGCCACGCGACCTGGCCGAGGCCTACAAGACACGGCCGTTGGAGGCCCTGGGCCCCCTGAAGCTGAAGCCGGCCCCTGAGGGCTTGGTGGCCACCGTGAAGGAGGCGGGGCGCTCCATCCACGAGATCCCGCGGGAGGAGCTGCGGCGCACCCCCGAGCTGCCCCTGGCCCCGCGGCCACTCAAGGAGGGCTCCATCACGCAGGTGAGCGGGTGAGGGGCCGGGCCAGCTGGGCGCGCTCCATACGGGGAAGCCAAGGCCGGAGTGCTTGTGTTGGGGGTCACGAGGCCCCAGACCGGACAGAGAAAGGCCTTTCCCTGCACAGGCATGCATGGCCTCTTCCCAGTTCGCCCGGGGCCCGCAGAAGCCCTCCGCGTCCTCGGGGGGACTGACTGCCAAGCTCCTGCCAAGGCCCAGCAGGGTGGGGACTGGCGTGCCATGAGCAGGCTGGCGGGGCTGTCCCCACCCCTAGAGAGCAGGCCCCACTCCCGTTTTACAGGGAAGTGGCCCCGTCTTGACCCAGGCTGGTGCTCCCCTGCAGGGCACGCCGCTCAAGTACGACGCTGCGTCCTCCGCCGGCTCCAAGAAGCATGACGTCCGCTCCATCATCGGCAGCCCCGGCCGGACCTTCCCGGCCGCGCCACCACACA